CCCCCCACGCACCCACTCCTGCCCACCTAGTTACCCCCACCCCCGCATACTCCCTCCTGCTCCCCTCCTCACATTTACCTACTCATGTCTACCTGGCACACACAGACCCACTCAGTTGTCCACAGACACTGACACCCACACCCATCCTGTCCTCACATAAGAGCCTGTCACGTGCTAACATGTGTGCAGACACAGAAGCTGCTGATCCTGCCCCCACACTGAGTCTTCAGCATGTATATAAAAACTTCCTAAATGTATTTTAAAGTAATCTATATATCTAGGAAGTGTAATGGAGTTTCAGGTAGGATAAAACGGAGATTTGTAAAACAGACACATCCGAGTTAAAATACTGAAAGTCAAAGACAAGGAGAAAACATTGAAAGCAGCAAAAGAAAAATAACTCAAAACTTACAAGGGACTCCCAGTAAGATTAGCAGTTAGCCGGCATCTCATCAGAAGAAATTGGTTGGGGGGTGGTCAGGATGGCTGGTGAGAACATTTCATGTGCGCTTCCTCCACTTAGCAGAAGCAGAGCAGCGTATAGACAGTCACACTCCAAGTACATTTTCCAAGAGAGAATGTTGGAACTAACAGAGAAGTGAACCATGACCTGTGCGTCTTAATCCCTGGTTTAGTTGAGTTCCTTTTAACCTCTGATGACCGCCTTTGTTAGTAAAAGGTCACTTGTGCCAACTAATGCTCACCAGGGGATTCCAACAGGGACCAGACCTTGAGGGTTAGCGGGGAGAAATGTGCAGGCTGGTGGGCACTGCCCTGGAGTGAGGGTTAGCATGGAGAAATGTGCAGGCTGGTGGGCACTGCCCTGGAGTGAGGGTTAACGTGGAGAAATGTGCAGGCTGGTGGGCACTGTCCCGGAGTGAGGGTTAGCATGGAGAAATGTGCAGGCTGGTGGGCACTGTCCTGGACTGAGGGTTAACGTGGAGAGATGTGCAGGCTGGTGGGCACTGTCCCAGGGTGAGGGTTAACGTGGAGAAATGTGCAGGCTGGTGGGCACTGTCCCAGGGTGAGGGTTAATGGGTAGAACTGTGCACACTGATGGGCACTGTCCTGGACTGAGGGTTAGCATGGAGAAATGTGCAGGCTGGTGGGCACTGTCCCGGAGTGAGGGTTAACATGGAGAAATGTGCAGGCTGGTGGGCACTGTCCCGGAGTGAGGGTTAACGTGGAGAAATGTGCAGGCTGGTGGGCACTGTCCCGGAGTGAGGGTTAGCATGGAGAAATGTGCAGGCTGGTGGGCACTGCCCCGGAGTGAGGGTTAACGTGGAGAAATGTGCAGGCTGGTGGGCACTGTCCCGGAGTGAGGGTTA